GCGGCTGCAAAGCTCGGGCTGATCCTCCTGGAAGGGCCAGCCCCGGTGCTGTTTCTGGAGAGTCCCCAGGTTAGTGCAGGCCATGATGGCCGGTCCCCTTCACCGCCCCCCTTGTCACCCATCAGCCAGCTCTGTGACCCTGCACCTTGTTCCCAGCTTCCTCCTCTTTGTGTTGTCCATGGTTGCGCTGAAGGTCCTCGACCCTCAGTGGAGCAGAGCCACACGCTTACAGATGTGCTCCCCAGGGGTGCAAGAGGAGGAACAAATACAAAGCAACACCTAAGGCAGCAGTCGCACCTCCACCCCGCAAAGCCATGGAGTGTGTGGCGGGCACCATTTCACTCAACACTCCCTGGAAGCTCCTTTGAGCTGCCAGAAATTGCTGTCTCTGCTTAGGCAAGAAGCTGACCCAAAACATCTCTTCTTGGGTATTGGACACCACAGCAGAGCGCTTCTGCCCCGACTGGCATGTTCAACAGCAGGGGGATGCCATCAGCGAGGGCATCCATGGGATCCAGAAAGGAGCTGACTCTCTGAGTGCGAAGAATGGGATTTAAAAGTAACCCGCTGGCTTGCTTTCAAACGTCAAGCGGCTGCTGCCGAGTCAGACTTTCCCTGAAGGTGCGTGAACCTGTATCTCTCATCTTTGCTGTATTCCGTGACTTCTTTGGGAGGGGCTCCTTCACCCAGCAGCTGCTGCTGGGGTCAGGATGCTTGTTTGCTCCTTCAGTGAATTCTGGTCATTTGGGTAAACTGGGCTGGAGGGAAACGGCGGGAAGGTTTGATGTTGATCTGGGTTCACCTCAACCCCTGGGGCTTGCTGTGGCTTGTGCATGAGAAGAAGCCTCTGCAGACAGCACCGCGTGGTAAAGCAGCTCCCCTCTTCCAGCCGCGAGAGGTGCCCGTGGACACTGAGGACAGGGAAGCTGAGCTGGAGGTAACTGTTGTGACGGGAGCTCCTCTGCTAGCAGCTGCCTGGAGCTTCTGGGGAGGCAGAGGTCCTGTCTCAGGGAGGCAGACAGGTCCGAGGTATTGGCACTGCAATGGGAAGCAAGGTCTCTTGTTCCAGCGGTGTTGCAGTAGCTGGCGTGACACTGGTCATGCACGACTGGCAAGGGAGTCAGCCAAGCAAGGCAGACCTGAGACCAGGCGGCTCAGGAGGCTTATTGCTGCTTGACACCGTGGGTTTTCATGGAACGATCAAGAATCAGTTGCTGGCAAACCGGACTGCCCTTCTGCTGCACCCGTAGGATGAGCAAGGAGAGCAAAAGAACCCTGCTTTCCCAGGCCTAGATGGAGTTCTCCAGGTCTGCAATCAGGTACGGGTCTTTCAAGCGGAGGATCTGGTAGAGCTGTTCCTGGGCCTTCCGTCCTTTCTTCTCAGTGAGCTCCAGCAAAACTCGGTTCCTCCTTTGACTCGTTTCTTCACGTTGCACCTCCTCCTCTTCATCGCTGTTGATGATGTTTGCGTCCCGTAAGTGCAGCAGAATGGTGCAGAGCTGCCTCATCCTGGAGCAAAGCTCGGTCTTGTGCTTCTTCATGAAGGTTGCACCTAGCAGACACCAAGCCCGTGTCACAGGTGAGTGCCACCCTGCGGCACGTGACACCCTGAGCCAGCGGACGCCATGGCTGTACACCCTGTCCCACAGCCACGTGTCTCCACCCCTTCACCAAAAAGGACAGGCACCTGCTGGCCCAGCGGTGGGAGCACTGGAGGCAGGGCAAGGAAGGGGGCAAGAATGGGGAGTCAGAGCTGGGGGAGGTGAGGTCGGTGGCAGCCCCCATCAGCTGCTGGCAGCTGTCCCCTCTGGGGTTCCTCAGTGTCTGGGCATGAAGTCACTATCTTGTCCCCTGCCCGGCAGGGTGAGGAGCTCCTAGCTCAGAGCACAGGCTGCTTAAAGCTCTGAAATCTTGCAGGATTGCAAGAAGTTTGTAAAGAAACAGAGCCTCAAAAGGCAGAGGGGCGCTGAGCAAGCCGTGGGTCAGTGCAGTGGGCAGCGCTGCCTGGTTTCTCCTCCCAAGCCTCCCCCCAGTCCTCCTATGTGAGGCCAAAGTGGGCACCCAGGGGGCGTCTCCTTTTAGGATCACAGGACAGTTTGGGTTGGAAGGGACTTTTAAAGATCACCTAGTCCAACCCCTCTGCCATGGGCAGACGCTGACGACCCATCTTCACCAGACCAGGTTGCTCCCAGCCCCATCCAGCCTGCCCTGGAACACTTCCAGGGAGGGGGCAGCCACAGCTTCTCTGGGCAACCTGTGCTGGTGTCTCACCACCCTCAGCATAAAAACCATCTTCCTTGTGTCGAATCTGAATTTGCCCTCTTTCAGTCTAAAGCTCTTGTCCCTTGTCCTGTCCTTGCTCTTGCCTGCCACCCTACTCTCCTGGTGCTCTTGGGCAGGTTGTAGGCCAGTGGGGCGACTCTACATGCATGGCAAGAAAAAAGAATAGTGCTGAAACGTCCAAATTTGTGTCTACCCAAGCCAGGCCTATCTGCATCGACCTGTGGCTTAGCTGCTGGGTGTCCTCCTGGATCTGGCCTTTCATTAGTAGGACGAGATGGAAACAATGACGTGTTGTAGCCCTGGAGAAACTAGGCTGGGATAATACCTGCAAAACTGCTGGGAAATGTGTTGTTGTGAGTGTACTTGAAGGAAGTGGAAAGGAAAGGCCATCAGAAACTCCTGGAGCTGCTGTAAAGGGGGTCCTGCCGTCCCCTCTGCCAATGCCTGGCTGCAGGCTCCGTCCCAGGGATGTCACCCCTGTGGAAAATGCTCCTGCACTGGCTGAGTGGGTTGCAGCAGCTCTACCACTTACTAGAACGCCAGTGAAATATTATTTACGGACCGTGAACTGCACTACCTGCCACTCATTCTCTGTAATAGCAGCACATCTGTCCCCAGAGAAGGCAAACCAGTCGGGAGGGTCACCTGCACTGTGCCGCTTTACCCACCAGCATGGCACAGAGCATGGGGCCAGCAGTGCAGGAACAAAAGTTTGAGGTTGCGGCTTTCAAGGCTTTTTGTCTAGAAACTGTGATAAAGATGGGAAAAGAGGCTGATATCTGCTTTAAGCCAGAGGATGGTGAGCGCCAGAGAAATAGATTCAGACTCTAGAAATGCAGCTCTGAAACACTGTACTGACCTGACACAGTATTGGAGAAAGAGACAGGAACATTAATATCACCTGAAAGAGAAAAGAGAGAGATCACTGAAATGATCTCTTCCACGACATCTTCCTGAGGCGCCTAATCCTCCACGAAGCTGTTGGCCATCCCTCCTCCTGTTCCTCCCCTCAATAAAAGGTCCTGGGCTCCACATGGTTGTCGGTGCTACTTTTAGGGGGCGCTGGATTAGCCTAACAAAGAAGGGGTGTCAAGGCAGTGCCATGCGCTGAGCCTGCGGGCTGCTGCTGCCCACAGCTCCTCTGCCAAGCTTTCCCATGGGGGAGCCCATGGGTGGGTGTTGCTATGTGGTCAACGGCATGTGCCGTGGGTGCTGAGCCGAGCCAGCAGCAGGTGGGCAGAGAGGTGTGGAGATTAGGAACCTGCTGCTCGGGAGCTGGGTGTGCCTCAAGATGCTGGTTTTCACGCAAATGTTGGTATTCTCCTCACCTCCTCGCCACCGCACGGTGGTTGCGCTAACACATCTGGGGAAGTTCCGTCACATCAACGGACTTTGAAAAGCCGGTCAGATTTCTGGGCAAACAGCAGCCAAGAGAACAGAGAGACACCGATAGTTCTGTCACACTCTCTTAAACCCCAGCATCTGAAACTCCACACCTGAAGCTCTGCTTTGCTGACATTGAGGTGTCCTTTCAGGTCCCTGTTCTTCAGTGGCCAACAGCTGCACGCACAGGGTTTGCTTTCCCTGCAGGATACGCGGATGACTGTGACCACCAAATGCGTGAGGACTTCTGGGGCGGCGTGCCTTTGCTTTTGCTAAGGTGAACGTGCCCCTAGACGGACCCGCCTTTCCTACCTGATCTCACCAACGCCTTCCAGATCGTAGCGTTGTTGCGTGTGTCTGTCATAAGGAGATCAATTTCGTCTTCCATGTCCCTGATGTAGATCTCGATAAAGAACTGATGTTCCTTTGGACTCTTGTAGCAAAATGGGAGGAACGTCTGTAAAGGCGAGAAGCAAGCTGAGTGTCTCTAACCACGGGGAGCTGCAGTGAATTCATGTACATCACCCTGTGGTTCCTGGCCCCACCAGCCAGAGGAAAGAGAAGAGAAGATGCACGTGTCAGGGCTGTACCATGCTGTCAATATCACAAGTTTTGGTTGGAAGGGACTTCTGGAGAGCCTTATCTCACCTGCCTCTCAAAGATGGACCAATGTCAAGTCTAGATCTGCTTTGTCTAGCTGGGTACTGGAAACCTCCAACAGCAGAGATTCACCACCTTCTAACCTTCTCTGGTAGCTGCATATCCACCGAGTGACAAAATTTTTCTTAACAAATGTTTTCCTGGGCTTCACAGGCGGCAACTTACAGCTTTTACCACATTTCCCTGACACTGCTGGGACCTTGGCTCTCTCAAATTCACAACTGCTCCTCAAGGCAGAGCGCCCAGCTATACCTGGTCATTCCAGGAAGTGGTAAAACCAAACCCTGCCCTGCGTCCATTAAGCTGGAGGCCCCGGCCCTTTGGGGCTGTGCTCAGCTCAGCAGCAGGGTTGTAACTGCAAGGGGGGGTGATGAACAAGCTGGAGGGTAGGGATGCCATTCAGAGGAACTTGGAAAGGCTGGAGAACTCAGCTGTCAGGAGGTCATGCAATTTGGCAAAGGCAGATGTAGAGTCCTGCATCTGGGATGGAACAGCCCCACACCAGACAAGAGCCTGGGCACTGGGTGGACCCAGAAAGCAGCCTCACAGGGAAGGGCTCAGGGGTCCTGATGGGCATCCAAGTTGAACAGGAGGCAGCAGTGTGCCCTGGCAGCAAAGCCTGCCCGCACCCCAGGCTGTAGTAGCAAGACCACAGCCAGCGCAGTGAGGTCAGGGATTCCTTCCCTCTGTTCAGCGCTTCTGAGACCGCATTTGGGCACTGGGTCCAGTCTGGGGCTTCCCAGTGCAAGAAAGACATGGACACCCTGGAGCAAGGCCAGCTCCAGGCTGGAGTGCATGATATGCTAGTAGAGGGAGCGGGAATTGGGTTTTCAACAGGGAGAAGAGAAAGTCACAGGGAGAACTAATCACTGAATTTGTGTTGAGGGGGACTAAAGAAAAGACAGTCTCCTGGAGGTGCACAGTGATGAGACGAGAGGCAATAGGCACAGGCTGCAGCAAGGGAAACCCCAGTTAGATAACAGGGGAAAAAAAATCACATTGAAAGTGTTACAACAGTGGATCAGAGATCCAGAGAGGCTGTGGTATCTCCATCCTTCGAGATACTCACCCTGGACTGGACATGGCCTTGAGCACCTTGATCTCACTTTAAAACGTGTATGCTTTGAGCCAGAGGTTGGACCGGAGACCTCCTGAGGTCCCATCCAGCCCAAGTTTCTCTGGTTCCCTTTTCAAGATTATGGTGCAGTGCAGACCCATGAGAGATTTTCACAACCAGCCATGAACGTGCTGTTGGGCTCTCATCAGGATGTCACAAACTCCTGTGTAAAACAAGTAACCAGGAGGACTAAATGGCCAAATCTTCCCAGATTTTCCCAGCCATGGCAATCTGATTGCTGCAGGGCACGGCGCTCAAAACCAGAGATCCTCAATGGAGTTTCAATAGAGGAAGAAGTCAGGTCACATCATGGTGTAGAGAAAAAGTCTCCCTCCAGCCCTGTTCCTAAGCTGAAGGAAACTCACTGCAGAGGAGATGAAGGACTTGGAACCGCACCGAAGTCAACACCTCTGAAATTCCTTCTTGATAAGCAGCTATGGTAAGTCCAAGTCCCACATTATGATTTCTGCCATAAGGAAAAGCAAACACAGCCCCTTCGTGGCTTTGGGGTGTGCTCCGTGCTCTTTCTGGGGATATGTATCATGAAATACCTTTGCCACTTGTAACCAGTACAGCTCCCTGCACCTCTGCCTCTGAGACCTAGTGAGACAGATTCTAGTAGCAGAACATGGCTGAGGACAGAGACTTCACTGTAAAAAGAAAAAGGAACAATCCCACTTACTTCAGGTGTTACCTCCACAGACTTCGTACTGGTCACCCAGTAAACGCAGCCAAAGAACAGAGGGTTGAAAGGAGGAGGCTTGGGAATAAGCTTTGCATTCCATTTCATTTCTTCCTCTTCAATGGCCTGTGGACATCAAGCATCATTTTGGAGAGGGGAAAAAAAAGAGAGCTGTGAACTGGAGGTAGCCCTGGGAAAGTCAAGAAGTGAAGACACCAATCCAGCCAAGCACATACCACAGGCAGTGCCGTGCTTCAGGGGCCAGGCTCGGCGCAGGCAGGCACCTACCGTGTGCAGGCAGGAACACGGGCAGGGTAATACGCTATCGCTCTGTGGGAGAGGGGGAGGGTTTGCATACAACGGGAGAACGGCTGGTGTGCAGCCGCCTAGTGCTGTGCCTGGACGTGGCCAGTGAGTCCTGTCCTACATCTGCTCTGTGGTGCAGAGCATCCTGTGGCACAGCTTTGCTCGTGCCAGGGCATGCTCTCCCAGCCGAAAACACGGAGAGCGATTCCTGGAGGCATCTGTGAAAGGAAAGTGGGGGAGGCAGGAGCCGAGGATGCTGTCCTGTGGTGGGAGAGGGGGGCACGGGACCATGTGTGAATCAGAGGCTGGTGCCAGCAAAATTGGGAGGCATGTCTGCTTATCAAATCCAGTCCCTGCTACTGCAGCTCCCCCAGATGTCATCCTTTTGTAATGCAGCCAAGCTCCCTCCGTCTTACCTGCTTCACAGAGTTGTCGTCTGGGATTAGGTAGAGGTGAAGAGTCGTACGTGCAGCACTGAGCTGCTGGAAGATCAGCACCAAGGCATGCATAGGGAATGAATTTAAGGAGAAAAATAACTTTCTCCAAAGCACACCAAGCAGTGAGAAGGTGGGATTCTCCAGGACAGCAGAGAAAGCCATCAGTCTGGTCGGTCTCTCCAGAATTTTCTCCCCAGATTTATAATGGACAATGAAGCACTGGGTGGTATTTACGCCTTCTGCAAGAGACAGCAAAGGCAACAAAGTTCTGTTTAGTCGACCTGGCAGCCTCTCAGGCTGCCTCCTTCTCTTTAAGGATTCAGCAGCAGAAAGCAGACGTGCCCACACATGGTGGCATGCTCTGCCTTAGGGCCTGTGGGTGCCCTGGCCTTTTGGGGTCCGGCAGGGAGCTGCAGGCCTTCATCAGCCTTCCTTCAGGCTCACAAAACTGCAAAGCTGAAGGTGGCAGCTTGGGACCATGAAAATTGTCCGAGTGCACCCGTGCAGCACCCTGTGTGTACGCGTCACAGCACTGCTTACCAGGGAGGCAGACAGTGGCTGCGTGGAGAGTCCCTCTAGTTTTTGACCACCAGAGCAGCCTGAACATCCCGAGGTGACACCCCTAGGGATGACTGGGTCAGAGAGCTCTGCTGACGCCCAGTCACCCGGGTTATCTCTGGAGCACACTTTGCTGTTAACCTGACAGACGAATATGATCATAGCCTTTGGCTTAGCACAACTATGCCAGGGACGAGCGCGTAGAGCCGCTTTTCAGCCCCGCTGCTGTAGCTGCAGAGAGCTGAGAAGCTCTCCAGGGGAGCCCAGGGGCTGCTCTGCAGCTGGGCTGGGGTAGTGCCCGGGGGCATCATGGCAGCTCGGAGGAGAGGGTGGGCGAGGAGGGCCTGGTGGTGTGGAGAGAGAGCTGGGGAAGGGACCACTGTGAAGGCTTGATAGAAAGTGAGAGAACAATAAAGATGCCCAAGCGAAGCAGAGGAAAACAAGGGAGTCCAGGGGATCTTGGAAGGAAGGGAGAACTTGGCCCTGCCTAGAGAGAGGTCTCCAAGGAGCCGGAGATGTCCCCAGAGGGGGACAGGCTGAGGCATGGTGGCTTGGGAGACTGAGGTCCCTGCAGCTGTTGTACCTGCCAGGCAGATGTAGTGGGGGAGATGCACCTCCTGCACGACCCCGGGCTGCACTTCAATGTGGAAGAGGGGTCCAGCGCACATCCATTTATCCATGTCAGACTCACTCAGGTACTGGTTCCAGGGGGCGTATCTGTAGGTGACGATCACTGCCGACTTCACCCTGAAGCCGAGGCCTGTGATGGAGCACCGGAAGATGCCTGCACCAGGGAGATGAGCTCTGTAGGTGGGAGAGACAACAGGCTCATGGCACCGGGGACAGGGCTTTTGCAATGTGCTCCCACTTCGCCCAACAGCTCTTACTGGTACACGGTGAGGTCCTCCATAACGCCTCGGATTATTTCTGGTGTCACTTCTGGAAGATCCTGCAACACAAGTGTGACTGGTTTGGGACTGAATGGGGTGTTGCGTACAAGGTCCTGCTTGCAGGAGGCACGCTGGGATTTACAGTGAAGCACGATGCAGCTTGGTGTGGGAGCTCAGAGCCTGGTGAGCAGCAGCAGGGGATCAGCCGCTGCTGCCTGGTGCCCAGAAAGGCATCGCTCTCATCAGTGAAGAGGGCAGAAAAATCATTGACTGTCAACTCCCTGCCCTGGGATCTGAAGCAGGCACTGGCCATGCCTGAGGCTCATGATCCCTTTAACGCAGCTCCCTGTAGTGGTGCCCAAGAGAAATCCTGCATGCAGGCGCGGGCAAGAGGGACTGAACACTCAGCCTCACTTGGGTAGATGCCACTGGGGTGGGGAAGGCATCGGTTAGTCCATGTGTCCCCCATGCATCACTAGGAAAGATAATGGGTGGACACGCAGAGGCGCTCCTGGAGCTCCAAACTACATGTTTCACCAACTGATTTTTAGGGTGTATTTTGCAAATCGGAATTCTAGATAGGAAATTTTCCATTTCTTGAGAGAGAAAATGCTGTTGACTGAGGACTTTCTTGTGAGTAACAGCTGGGCTGTGCCCTCTCTGCCGTGGTGTATCAGCAGAGAGGGCAGTGGCCACAGGCAGAGGGAATGTTTAGCAGTGAGAATAAATCTGGGACATGAGCCAGTGGAATTTGTCTTCCTGCAAACTTGAAAACTGGAGCAGTGCATGCTGAGTTAGTGCAGCAAAAGGGACCGGACTCTTCTGGAGGATGAAGAATTGCTGCAAGTAAGAGGTTTGGAAGGCCCACCCAACCTCCCAGGTGACAGCCAGGCTCAGTCCCAGGCTCCCTGCTCTGCCATTTCCTTTGGGTGCGATAGCGCCCTGTGAGGACTTGCAAAGCCCTTACCTCCTGCACGCAGCGCCAGCAGCTTGTCTTTGGTGGTGAGCCCAGGTTTGGCCCGTGACAGCTCTCCTGCAGAGGGGAACATAGGGGAAAGCACTCGCAAGCTGTGTTTCTCCCCACCAGCTGGAGGAGAGGTCTTCTGAGAGCACGAGCGACATCCCCAGCGGCAGGTATAGTGCTGGCCCTGCTCCCCGCTCCTGCAGGGAGGAAACAGGCTGGCACGGGAGCTGTGCCCCCCTGGCCTGACTGCGGGGTGAGGTCCCTCTCCTGCGACTGGGGGCAGCACCCACCAGCTCCTGCCACCCGGCGCGGTGTTGTGGTGGCGATGGGCAGCACCAGACCCCCCCCTCTGCAGGGCCAGTTGTGAGCCCACAAGCTGCAGCTGGGCCTTCCTCCCCAGCCCTGAAGTGTTCCTCACTCAGGCACCCCAGCCACAGGCATCGTGTCCTGTGAGACCTCACCTCTGCGCTCCCTGAGGCCTCGTCTGTCAGAGATGTGTGAAGGCTTGTCATCAGCTCCTGTAGGGCAAAGTCTGTGCCTGGAACAGCAGGAAGACCTTGTCATTTTTGCCTCGTGTTTGGGAGAAGAAGCCATCCTCAAGCAGCCTTCACCCAGCCTTCCCAATCCCCTTAGCTGTACTGGTCCCCTCATGTACCCCCATGTGCTCCCACTCTACTACAACTTCCACACCCTCCTCCAGGAACCATGGCAGGGACCTGCTCAGCCCCATGCAGCGAGTTGAGGTCCCATGCTCACCACCGCACAGCTCCACCAGCCCAGGCTGTCAGTGAGGACCAGGGCATGATCTTACCTGAAAATCCAGGATCGACATCGGCATCAATATCATCGACTGCAACAGCAACACAAGATAGAGAGCTCAGGAGCCAGGTCATGTCCAGAGCAGTATCCCATCCTCTCCCTCTTCTTCACGCCTTTGCTATGAAACCTCTTCCTGCCGGTTTGTGCCCATTTGCACCAAGCTGCTGGGCACCAGGAATCCCACCCAGTTGCCCATCCCAGGAGGACAGTGCACCATGGGGCTGAGAACAGGCTCCCAGCCTCCGCCTTTCCATCCCTCCCTGCTGCTATGCAGAGAGCAGATTTCTTGCCAGAAGCAAAGGCCTTCCTCTCCCTCCTGCCTTCCTCCTGCATAGGTGCATCCCCGGGCCCTCGCCTTCCTCCCACCTTCTGGTGCAGGCCTGCTCTGGCAGCTCCCCGGTGCTCACGCAGCCGCAGCTGCCTTGCCTCTTCCCGTCTGCCTGAGGAGACACCCCGGTTTGCACCCACGCCCTCTGTCCCACCTCCAGACGGATCCCCACCCACCTCCGCTGGGCCACCCTGCACTTACGTCTTTTGAACAGGAACACAAAGCTGTTGGGTGTGATTTCATAGTGTCGCAGGGTCTGGTCATCCTCCATCTCCCCGCTGTCGTAGTGCAGCGTTAGCTTTTCAGGGGACAGGAAGCAGCCCTGTGCGACCAGCTTGGCCTTAAGCTCCCACACTGTGTCATCCAGAGACACTGTCGCATCAATTATTTTGCCCCTCCAAGTCTCGATGAAGATGGAGAACTCACTGGGGCTGTCGGCCGCTGGCTGCTGCTCTGCCATTGTGTCTCTTTCAGCCATCCCAGAAGAGCTGAAGTTCCGGCTCAGTCACTTCCCAAGAAACCGAAAGCGCTGGGTGGCGTCAGAGTTGACCCTGCTGTCAAAGTGCCTTCACGCCTTGGCTGAGCACTCCTCCTCCTGCCCATGGACCCTGCCTGCACCCGGCTTTCTCCCTTGCCTGCACGGGCTCTCTCCCTGCCTGCCCCGGGCTTTTTTCCCTGCCTGCACTGGACTTTCTCCCCTGGGCTGCTCCATGTGCACAACCTCTCTCCCTTGTTACTTTCCCTTTCCCCTTCCAAACCTGGCTCCTCTTCTGGGATTTTCTTCCCAAGGGAAGGCAGGGCAGGCCAAGGGCAGAGCGTTTTCCCAAGGGAAAGGTGGAGCAGAGACTTGGATCCAGCCTGCCAAGCTGGTTTGCGAGTGCCAGAGGGTCCCCTGCTGGGTTACGGGGTCACCCCAGTGCCTGCCCGTCACCCTCTCCCCAGCACATCACCCCAGCTCTGCCTGCCGCTGGCTGTGTGGGGGACCAGCTTGTCCCCGTCCCTGCTACAGTGGCATGTGTGTGTGGGGTTGTTAATTTGGGGGTGGTGGGAGGTGCAGGGCTGTGGGTTGTCGTCTCCCTGACCCCTGTATAGCTGGCAGGGAGCCGAGGGTAGGCAGCACAGTGGGCAGCTGCCTGGCACCGCTGGCATGGCCCTATCAGCCCCCTGGTGAGGTACCGCTGTCCCCCTTGGGGCAGACCCACAGGCCCTGCCCCACAGCACCCACCGCACCCACCAGCAGCCCCAGGATGGCTGAGCACCCTGTCGCACACCTCAGGGTGCCCGGGCAGGAGGGGCAGGACCTGCCGCCGACATTCAGGGCTCCCTTTTTTATTCTGGTAGAGGGGGAACGAGGACATGTCAGTGACTGACCCTGCGCTCCAGGCAGTGCCCACCGTGGCAGCAGTGGCAGGGTGATGAGGTCAGCTCCCAGAGCCCAAGGCTGCACTCCGAGAGATGGCAGTGACAGGGACACGCACTATTTATTGGGGAAGGTAGGACCCAGAGCCCTCGCTCAGGGCTGGGCTGCCCACATGCCATGGCCCAGTCCCCCCCTTGCTCTGCCTGCATCTCCTGCTGTTCCCAGGGCAGCACAGCCCCAGTGTGCAGCTGGTGTCTCACCAGCCCTCCCCTGGAGCGATGCGCTCGGCCCTACAAGGTGCAGTGAAACAGCCCCAAAACTTGCACGCTTGCAGTGTCAGCTGAGCCTGACTGCCCATGGCCCACCGACAGCCCTTACTGTTGGGCTAATTCCCTGCAAAGTGATTTATCGACTCCTTTGGACCTCTTTGGAGCAGGTTTCCACACCAGAGGTCAAAAAACCTGTGTGCCGGGTGGGGAAATGGAGGTGGCTGCCAGCTGCCATGTGTCACAGTTCCAGCAGTACTGCATCCCATGGGATGAGCTCTGCACCGTGCCCCAGCCAGGCACAGCACCGTGTGCGGGGATGCTCCTGCTCCGCTGCCTGCAGACATACCGAGGGGACCTGGTGTCATTTCTCCTGCCTTAAAACTGAGGTAGCTCCACGAGGATCCACAGTCCTTCTTGCAAGGCCGTGGAGGTGTGTGGCTTTCTGGAGCTCCCACTTCTGCAGGCTCCATCCGTGGGTAGTTCTTCTTTTAATGGCAGTAAAAACCACAGCCGAACAGCCCAGTTAAGCCTCTCGTCTCATTTGGAGCAGGCAGCAAGGGACTAAAGCCTTGCATGAGGGCAGCAAACCACCTGGACGACCTCAGGGAGTAGTATAATCAGGGTGTAGCAGCAGCGACCCAAGTACATCTGCATCTGCGGGAGAAAAAACCTTCCTCTGTATCCAGGGTGGTCTTGAAAGTCATAGCAGGGAAACAAAGGACATATCTGGAGAGGTGGGCCCTGGCCGGCCTCATGGAGTTCAACAAGGCCAAGCGCAAGGTCCTGCACCTGGGTCGGGGCCATCCCAATCACAGACACAGGCTGGGGGATGAGTGGATCGCGAGC